CCCCCTCTAGGTTCCCTTTCAAAGGCTAGCCAATGTAGGCTTGATTTATTTGTTCAGGGTTTCTTTGCATTCTTTCAGAAATTCACCATCTTGGCCACAGGGTGGGTTAAGCGTTTGGCCCCATCTGACCCTTAACCTTCCACACCTAGCTTACCACTCCATCCATCTATTCTAAGGTGCCTTGCTAACAAGTTGCTCTTTTCACAGGCCCTGGTAACTGAGAGCCAACCATCTGATGTGCTTTGTCATTGCAGAATAGTTGTTGGTCAATTCTTGATAAGGACCAGTTAAGCTCTATTCTATTTGATCTCCTTGTTGCTTTAATTGGAAATAATAAAGGGCTTTTGTGGCAAAGATTGCAGTTCAAAGCCAGCCCGGGCTGAAAAATCCCTAAGACTCCATCTCCCAACTAACCTGCAAAGAGCCAGGCTGGAAGCATAGTTCAAGACTCTCATCTGGAACCAGCAAACACTGCAAGTGGTACTATAACTCAAAGTGGTTCAGTGCTCGCCTTGAGCAGAAGTGCTCAGGGTCAGTGCCCAGGCCATGAGTTCAATCCTCCTTGAATACCAACTGGGACAAGCCATCCCAGCTACAAGCACCTAGACTCAGCCAGTCTGGGGAACAAGGGACCATGGAGAGGAGTAAGAGGAGATGATGTCACATCAGCAACTTTGTGCCTGCCCTTTCAAAATTAACCAAGTTGGGAGGTCAATAGAAGTAAGAAGCCTGCCCATCTAGTGTCCATACCTGTCTACCTACTAACTGGACAAGAACTTATATTCTTGCCTTTGTTACCTGACTTCTCCTCTACCTAGTCGCCAGATGTCAGAAGTAGCTAGGGACATTCCTACCAACATTTTCAGCCCCAAGTCCTTCCTCTTGCCATTTATTTGCTCTCTAGTATTTTTTTTCCAGCCCCTCAATGCCTCATGAGTCTTCTCCAGACTTCATCTAAGGACTCACACCACCAAGGGACAGCTACTGCTCACTGCCTTCTCTGGGAGGGGACGAAATTCCAGCCTTTTAACCCTAATGTCAATGCCCCTGGTCAGCAGGAAGTAGCCAGAGAGAATCTTCACCCTATTTCATGATTTTTTTTTTTTGAGTCGGGTCGTGGGGCCTGAACTCTGGGACTGGGCGCTGTCCCTCAGCTCTTCAGCTCAAGGCTAGTGCTCTACCATTTGAGCCACAGCGCCACTTCCAGCTTTTTTCTTTTTTCTTATGTGGTGCTGAGGAATCGAACCCAGGGCCTCAGGCATGCAAGGCAAGCACTTTACCACTAAGCCACCTTCCCAGCCCTTATTTCATGATTATTAAAAGGCTGGAATGTAAGGTCCGCTCCTGGATGGCTTGCAAAGTCTCCACCCAGTACCTACGTTACTTAGGCATCTGGCACACTTGGAAGAGGTCACATCTGCATCTGCTGAGGTCACTTCTGAATTTGATGTGGCCATACCTTTCTTCACCCATACCCTAAATAAGGCCTAGCCCAGGCCCAGATGCTCTCTTTTTCCCAGCTCTCTTAGCTCTTTTTTCCCAGCTCTCTCTCTTTCCCAGCTCTTTTCCAGGTCTCTCAGGCCTTTCTCCATCTCGTGGAGTGCCAACATGGCCTGGTCCCAGCAGGTCTACTGAATAAACCTACCCCTTACCTGAAAAAAAAAAAGTTTCACTGGAGCTGGGCACCGGTGGCTCACCTGTAGTCCTAGCTACTCAGGAGGCTGAGACCTGAGGATCGTGGTTCAAAGCCAGCCTGGGCAGGAAAGTCCTGAGACTCTTTTTTTTTTTTTTTGGTCCGGTCGTGGGGCCTGAACTCTGGGCCTGGGCGCTGTCCCTCAGCTCTTCAGCTCAAGGCTGGCACTCTACTTAAGCCACAGCACCACTTCTGGCTTTTTTCTTTTTTCTTATGTGGTGCTGAGGAATCGAACCCAGGGCCTCGAGCATGCAAGGCAAGCGCTCTACCACTGAGCCACCTTCCCAGCCCCAGTCCTGAGACTCTTATCTCCAGTAAACCACTAGAAAACAGGAAGTAACACTGTGTCTCAAGCAACACTGTGGCTCCAGTGGTAGAGTGTTCACCTTGAGCTGAAAAGCGCAGGGACAGCATTCAAGCCCAGAGTTCAAGTCCCAGGGCTGGAAAAAAAAAAAAAGTCTCATAGATTTTCTTGTTTAGGCTGGCTTTGAATCATGATCCTCAGATGTCAGCCTCCTGACTAACTAGGATTACAGGCATTTGCCACTGGGCACCCAGCTTCCTCCCTCTTTTTGTTAAAAAAAAAGTTGTACAAAGAAGTTATTATTCAACAAATCAGTTTATGAATATAATGCATCTTGATCAATGTCTCCCCTTTCATCATTCTTCCAATCCTTCTCAAATCTACCTTCCTCTAAATTTTTATCTATTCCCTTCCCAGCTTCCCTCCCAACCTTTCCAGTACCAATTTCCTGGTATTCATTTTGTTGGATTATGAGTTTTTTTTAAAGGAGTTACATCATTTGAATTCTCTCCTGAAAATATCCTATTTCAGTTAATACATTTGCGTATATTTGCCATGCAATCTCCATGTGCTTTTTTTTACATTTATAAATTAGTTCTACCTTCCACATATGAAAGAAAACATTTGTCCTTTGTCTCTCTGAGCCTGACTTATTTCACTTAACCTAATTTTTTCCAGGTCCATCCATTTCTTTGCAAGTGATATATCACTTGCATATAGCCAGGGCTGGGAAGGTGGCTCAGTGGTAGAGTGCTTGCTTTGCATGCATGAGGCCCTGGTTTCAATTCCTCAGCACCACATAAGCAGGGAAAAAAAAAAGCCGGAAGTGGCGCTGTGGCTCAAGTGGTGGAGTGCTAGCCTTGAGCTGAAGAGTTGAGGGACAGCACCCAGCCCCAGAGTTCAGGCCCACGACTGGACCCCCCCCAAAAAAAAATTCATATAGCCAGCCATCGGTGGCTCACACCTATAATCCTAGCTATTCAGGAGGCTGAGATCTGAGGATCACGATTCAAAGCTAGCCCAGGCAGGAAAGTCTGTGGGACTCTTATCTCCAATTAACCACCAGAAAACCAGAAGTGGCACTGTGGCTCAAGTGGTAGGGCACTCCCCTTGAGCTGAAGAGCTGAAGGCCAGCACCCAGGCCCAGAGTTCAAGTCCCACGACTGACAAAAATCGAATAAAATAAAGTTCTATATATACCACATTCTCTTGATCCATTTTTTTTTGGGGGGGAGGGTTCAGTTTTGAACTCTGGGCCCGGGCACTGTGCTGGTCCTGAGGCTTGAACTAATGGCCTGGATGCTGTTCTGAGCTTTCTTGCTCAAGGCAAATGCTCTATCACTTGAGCCACAGCTCCACTACTGGCTTTTTGCTGGTTAATTGGAAATAAGAGTTCCATAAACTTTCCTGCCCCAGCTGGCTTTGAGTCATGTCCTCAGATCTCAGCCTCCTAAGTAGCTAGGATTATAGGCATGAGCAGTACACTCCTGCCTGGTTAGTATCTGTTTTTAATTGGTTTTGTTTTGTTTTGTTTCTTGGTTAGTAGTGGGACTTAAACTCTGGGCTAGGCACTGTTCCTGAGCTCTTCAGCTCAAAACCAGTGCTCTACCACTTGAACTACAGCACCACTTCTGGTTTTCTGGTGGTTAATTGGAGATAAGAGTCTCATGGACTTTCCTGCCCAGGCCGGCTTGGAACGGTGATCCTCAGATTCCAGCCTCCTGAGTAGCTAGGATTACAGGCGTGAGCCTCCGTACCTGGTGAGTTAATTGTTTCTATAACCTATTATAGCATGGCTGGTATATATTTACTTCTCTATGTATTTCATTTGTAACATAGTTACAAATAGAAATATTTAGAAATATTTTAGATCTTTCTTCATAATCTTGTCAAGAAATAGAGAACACAAAATACAACTATGCAATGTTTCTTTCAGGTTTCTATTCATAAATAAAAAATAAGAGTTGGGAAGGTGGCTCAGTGGTAGAGCATTTGCCTTGCATGCATGAGGCCCTGGGTTCCATTCCTCAGTACTACATAAGCAGAAAAAAAAACACCTGAAAGTGGCACTGTGGCTCAAGTGCTAAGTGCTAGCCTTTAGCTAAAGAGCTGAGGAACAGCACCCAGGCCCAGAGTTTAGGCCCCATGACCGGACCCAAAAAAATTTAAATAAATAATAAATTAATGCCTCACAAATAATATTTAAAAAAAAATTAGGGCTAGGAAGTTGGCTCAGTAGTAGAGTGCTTGCCTCGCATGCATGAAGCCCTGGGTTCGATTCCTCAGCACCACATAAGCAGAAAAAGCCAGAAGTGGTGCTGGGGTTCAAGTGGTAGAGTGCTAGCCTTGAGCTGAAATGCTGAGGGACAGCGCCCAGGTCCATGGTTCAGCCCCTATGACTGACAAAAAAAAAAAAAAAATAATGCTGGGTGTGGTAGAACACACCCATAATCCTAGTACTCTGGGAAGTAGAAGCAGAAGGTTTATGACTTTCAAGTCAGCCTGGGATACTTAGTGGAAACCAGAACTCAAAATAAACAAACAAACAAAAATAAATGGGTGTAGTTTGGACTAGGGGCATAGCTCTAATGGGAAAGTGCTTACCTATTAAGTGCATGACTCAAATGATAGAGGGAGTGAAATGTATTGTAAACATGTAAAAATATAACAATGAAACACCCTCTATACAACTAATGTTAGCTAGTAAAAAATAGCAGTTATTATTGTAGAATACATATGGACAGACATCCACAAACATACATGTATCATATATGTGTGAGTAGGAGGATGAAAGAGACTCCTATATTCTTTGAATTTTTGCATACCATGTATCATTTCTAAAATGAAAACAAAATATCTTACAAATCAATAAATATATTGGAACAGAACATAAAATCCACAGCAGCCCAAGGAAGCAAAAACCTATATCCTACACAAATTCAACTATCAACTCTGCAGTGAATCTGATAGCAAGACAATGAAAGAAGCTGAGGGATGACTCACCTTGAACACTTCAGAGAAGAAGCCAGACCCAATTTTTTCACAGGTGAAGTCATCCAAACGTGTCAGTCTGGAAAAGGCACTTATGAGAGCTCGATATGAAGATGGCCAAACTCTTCCTGCCTGGGTCATGTTCCCTTCTCCACCACCACCTCCTTCAAACTCTTCCAAACGCTCTACACGTGGGGGAAATCCTGCAATTGAATTCCGTTTGCTCCGATCCATAATATCAATAATCACTTCTTCTTTTAAGAAGGAAGTCCGATCATAGTAAGTTTTTGTTGAACTTTATTTCTCTTCCAGTTTGACACTAAATGAAACAAAAAAAAAATATTAAAACATTCATGAGTTTATATGTTTGGGGGAAGGTAAGGGGAGGCACAGAAATGGAGGGACCAGAGACTGGGAAGGTGGCTCAGTGGTAGAGCGCTTGCCTTGCATGCATGAGGCCCTGGGTTCGATTCCTCAGCACCACATAAGCAAAAAGAAAAAAGCCGGAAGTGGCGCTGTGGCTCAAGTGGTAGAGTGCTAGCCTTGAGCTGAAGAGCTGAGGGACAGTGCCCAGGCCCAGAGTTCAGGCCCCACGACCGGACCCAAAAAAAAAAAAAAGAAATGGAGGGACCAAGGGTGAACAAATACAGTAATAGTACTCACTGGGCACTATGTTGAAAAAGAACTATACAACCTATGGGTGGGATAGGAGGGAAAAACTGGGAGAGAGAGAGGAAAGGGTGACATAGCCCAAAAGGAAATGAATTCTTTGCCTGACTTATGTAACTGTAACCACTCTGTATATCACCTTTATAATAATAAAAACTGTTAAAAATTAATAAGTACATGCAAATCAATGAACTTGCAAACTTCCTCCTGATTTTCAGATCTAAAAAACTGTCTTTACTTTCAAAAACAGCACTGATATACTTAAAACATATCTATAGTATATATACATACATATGATACAACTAACAACGATAGTTGATATACATATCATATATGTATATATGTATATACGCCATTTATGAACCATTTATGCAGGAAACACAGTATAAGAACATGGGTACAGGCTACTTCGCAGCCCCTTAATTTGAAAATTTAAGACCACAGTGACTTATATTGTCATACCAGCTCTCAAGAAGTAGAGATAAGAAATGTCATTGAGGGACTGGGAAGGTGGCTCAGTGGTAGAGTACTTGCCTTGCATGCATGAGGCCCTGGGTTCGATTCCTCAGCACCACATAAGCAGAAGAAGCCGGAAGGGGGGCTGAGGCTCAAGTGGTAGAGTGCTAGCCTTGAGCTGAAGAGCTGAGGGACAGTGCCCAGGCCCAGAGTTCAGGCCCCACAACCAACAACAATAACAACAAAAGAAATGTCATTGAAGCCAGCCAGGTCAAAATTTTGGCAACTCTATCTCAATCTATAAGCAAATTGTGATGGTCAGCATCTGTCATCCCACCTATCCAAGAGAGGTAACAAACAAACAAACAAACAGCTGGGCGCTTGTAATCCTAGCTGCTCAGGATGCTGAGATCTGAGGATTGTGGTTCAAAGCCAGCCCAGGCAGGAAAGTCCATGAGACTCTTATCTCCAATAAACCACTAGAAAACTGAAGTGGCGTTGTGGCTCAAGCAGTAGAGCGCTCACCTTGAGTTGAAGAGAGCAGGGATAGCGCCCATGCCCAAAGTTCAAGCCTTACGACCAACAACAACAACAACAACAAAATTCAAGTACTTCTATGAAGCCATTACCAGATCCTAAAATATAAAACATTAGCATATAAGACAAAACTTTGAAATTTTACATCAAGTAGAGATTATCAAGGAAAGTCCTTCTTTTCTTTTCTTTTCTTTTTTTTTTTTGTTGGTTGTGGGGCTTGAACTCTGGGCCTGGGCGCTGTCCCTCAGCTCTTCAGCTCAAGGTTAGTGCTCTACCACTTGAGCCCAGGGCCACTTCTGGTTTTTTCTGCTTATGTGGTGCTGAGGAATAGAACCCAGGGCCTCATGCATGCAAGGCAAGCACTGAGCCACCTTCCCAGCCCCAAGTCATTCATTTTATGTTTGAGAAAAACACAAGACTGAGACAGTGAAAACTTTCTGAGTAAATGCTTTATTCTATTTAGTAACAAAATTAGACTTGGAACTAAGGGAGTACACTTCTTAAAGTCATGTCTGTTGATCATCTGCTTTAAAATTACCTGAGAAGCTTGTTTAAAAACAGTTAACAGTTCTCTCATGCTTGACCTACTAAATCAGAATCTCTTTTGATCAGAATCTCTTTTGAGATGAGGCCTGGAAATTTAACTAAGCTCCACAGTGATTCTTTTTTTTTTGTCGGTCGTGGGGCTTGAACTCTGGGCCTGGGCCCTGTCCCTCAGCTCTTCAGCTCAAAGCGAGCGCTCTACCACTTGAGCTACAGTGCCACTTCCGGTTTTCTGGTGGTTTATTGGAGATAGGAGTCTCACGGTCTCTCCTGCCGGGGCTGGCTTTGAACCGCGATCCTCAGATCTCAGCCTCCTGAGTAGCTAGGATTGCAGGCGTGAGCCACCAACGCCCGGCTGTCCCTCAGCATTTCAAGGCTAGCATTCTATCACTTGAGCCACAGCGCCACTTCCTAATTGCTTTTTTTTTTTAATTTAAATTTTTATTTTTTGTGAACATACTGTACAGAGGGGTTACAATTACATGGGCAAGATAATGAGTACATTTCTTATCAAGCATTGCAGCCTCCTCCTTTGTTTATCCTTCACATCCCTTCCCAGCCTCCCCCCGCCTCCCCACCCATAATTGCTTATTTTTTAAGCATAGGAATTTTATTAACATTTTTTTGCTTATTTTTTAAGCATAGGAATTTTATTAACGTTTTTTCATTTTACCCTCAATACATAGGTCCAAGGTAGACATTCTCTCCATTTTACAGAAAAAGCAGAAGATCAGGAGGTTAAGTACCTGTTTAAATATTCACAGGTGGTAAAGCCTGAATGAAAAGTAACCTCCATCTGGCACCAAAGCTCAAGATCTTTCCATTTCATTATTACTCGTTCAGTGTCATGCCACTTTTAAGGAGTTAAGCAAGTCATTGGAGTAGAAAAGAGGCTAGAGACTTAAGTGAAGAGGAAAGCCACACTGATTGTAATTTGGATAAAAACTGGGAGAAAAACAAGGAGAAACTAGCAAAAAAAATAAGCCATACTAAATTGAAACTCAATATATAGGAAATAGTTTTCTCTGATTTTCCAGGTTTGTCATCTACAGGTTTTTCATTGCTTTTCTTTGCTTGAGATACATATACACACATATATGCATACATACATACTTTTTTGCTCAAGGCTAGCAGTATACTATTTGAGCCACAGCTCCATTTCCAGCTTTTGGGTGATTAATTAGACATGAGCAGCTCATGGACTTTCCTGCCTGGCTTCAAACCACAATCCTCAGATCTCAGCCTTCTATGTAGGTAGGATTGTGTGAGCCCCTGGTGCCCAGCACCTTTTTGACAGGGCCTTGATATGTAGACCAACCATTGACTCTCCTGCCTCTACCTAGTAAGTGCTGGGATTACAGACATCTATCATCACACCCTACTATATTTCTCTGTGTGTGTGTGTGTGTGTGTGCGCGCGCGCGTGCGTGCGTGTGCATATGTGTGTGTGTGTGTGTCCACTGTGGGGCTTGAACTCTGGGCCTGGGAGCTGTCCCTCAGCTCCTCAGCTGAAGGTGAGCACTTTACCACTTGAGCCACAGCACCACTTCTGGTTTTCTGTGGTTAATTGGAGGTAAGAGTCTCACGGCTTTTCCTGCCCAGGCTGACTTTGAACTGTGATCCTCAGATCTTAGCCTCCTGAATAGCTAAGATTACAGGAGTGAGCCACCAGTGCCTGGCATCCTGGTCATTTTTAATAGAGTCTCACTTCCTTTCCAGGTGTACACTTGAATTACAATCTGCCTATTTTAGGCTTCCTGTCATAACTAGAACGACAGGTACACACCCACCTTCCTTCTGTTGAGATAGAATCTTAGTCTTTCAGTCCAATTTGAATTGAAATTGTAATCCTTCCTATCTCAGATTTGCACATAGTTTAAGATGACAAGAACATGGCACTACACCCAGCTAAGGGTTGAGAAGGGATCTTACAAACTTTTCTGCCTGAGCTGGCCTCAAACCTTCAATTTTCAGCCACCTCAGTATCTAGAATTATAGGTGTGAGCCACCAACATCAGGTTTTTCTTTTTCTTTATTTTCATAATTAATACTTGTTGACTCTGGTTACTATTTATTATAATCTTTCCTATATTTAGGATTTTTTTAAAAATCAGTGGTAGGGCTTGAATTCAGGACCTGGGAGGTATCCCTGAGCTTTTGTGCTCAAGGCTAACACTCTACCCACTTTGAGCCACAGCTCCACTTCTACTTTTTAAGTGATTAATTGGAGATAAGAGTCTCATGAACTTTCCTGTCTGGGCAGGCTTTGAACCGAGATCCTCAGATCTCAGCCTCCAGTGTGTCTAGGATTACAGGTATGAGCCACTAGCACCCAGCTCCTATATTGAATTTGTTTGTGAGTTTGTTATAGTACTGAGATTGAACTCAGTGACTCATATTTACCAATTGAGCAATATCTGCACCTCTTAATTTTACTTATTTATTTATTCATTCATTCATTCCTTTGTGATGGTCCTGGTTCTTGAACTCAGGGCCTGGGCACTGTCACTGAGATTTTTGTTTTTTGGGGGTTTTTTTGCTCAAGGCTAGTACTCTATCACTGGATTACAGCTCTACTTTCTGTTTTGTCTGAGTACTTTAAGAATCTCATGGACTTTCTTGCCCAAGCTGGCTTCTAACTACGAACCTTGGATCTCAGATTCCTGAGTAGCTAGTGTTATAGGCATGGTGAACCAGCACCCGGCAGGGCTTTTTGTTTGCTTTGTTTTTTGTTGTGTTTTTGTTTTCAATTACCAAGTTAGCTGGAGATACAGCTCAGTGGAAAAGTGCTTGTCTGGCATGTACAGGGTTCTGTGTTTGATCCCCAGAACCACAGGAAGGGGAAAGAAAAAAAGTCTTTGCTAATACATCAGCTATGTAGCATGTTTATGCCAAGAAAATTGAAAGCAATTTGGCAAATAAATAGCAGCCCAATATGCAAGCCAAGCCTCAGGATGCTCAAACTTTTATTATGCAGTGGTTCATATAGTTTTTTTTTGTCCAAGGAATATTTATATCTTAGGCTAAAACCTCAAAAGTACTACAGAAATTTTTAGACAGCACAACTGACTCAAGTCAAATATAAAAAAGCTTACATGAAACACCAGTATTTAG